CAAATAAACTGATTAATGTAATCTGATTTTTAAAAGAGAGAAGTGTGGTAATTGTCAAAGTAGAAGACACTAAGGCTTTGTGTACACTGCAGGGTTTTTGCACAAGAAGTTTTTTGCAGAAGAGATCTTCTGCAAAAACTTCTTGCACAAAAGTGCATCCATACCTCAAAAGCACATTGCTTTTGCACAAGAGAGCATCCACATGACATGGACACTCTTGTGCAAGAAAGCTCTAATTGCCATTAACAGAATGGCCATCAGAGCACCTGTGCTTTTTCTGATAGGCTCTTTTAGTGAAAGAAACCCCTGTGCAAGAGCTGTAGCGCAAAAAGGAGTTATTCCTCATGGGGAGAGGAATAACTCTAACAGCAAAAGCCCTCTGTCCTGTCAATTTACTGGGTTTTTTTGCGCAAAAACGCACTTGAGATGTGGACATTCCACCCGTTTTTGCGCAAAAACCTTGTAGTATAGACATAGCCTAAATCTTGATGTTTGATGAAGGCAGAGAGAAAAATGTATGCCTGTTTAAGCCCCTATTCACTGACAATAGACCCTAAAGACTTTCTTTACATGGCCAACTGAGCCCAAAACTTTCGTCATTCACAGATGCTTAAAAAAAAGCAGCAGGGTAAACAGTGCATTGTTGGCAGGAGCACTCCCCTGCTCATAGAGGGTGGAAGAATTTTGTCAGCAAAAGTGCTGATAATCAGCATTTACGCTACCTGGCTTTTAGTGACATGGCTGTGTCACTGAAAGCTGTGTAGTATAGACATATACTCAGTGTTTGGCTGCCCCTAATATTTTTCCGCTTTAGGCAGCTGTTTGTTCTGGTGTATATGGAAGATCTCGCTGTAGAGTGGAGAATATGAAAAAAAAATGGGGAAAAAGCTGAGGGACAGAGCCAGCTTGTTTAGCTGAATGTAGCAGGCATTAGGCACAGTATCATCTTCTTGCAGAAATATGTGTGCGAGTAAAGACTGTTTGTTAATGGCACGTTAACAAAAACCCTAAATGAGGAGCAAGCTGGCAGTGTTTCTCTCAGGGAGAACAGGATCAGGCTAACAGCGCCTGCCATCCAGAGTAAAGAAGAACAGGAACTCACAGGAGGAACTGAGCCAGCAAGAATCATTTTCAAGACGAGTCATAACTGCATTTTGTTTAAAAGATTTAATTTTCTGATTGTTCTAATCAACCAATTTAAAATATATAATTTTAAAGAGCTGCTGACACCTCATGGAAAGCATCTCTCTCTCTCTATTGGGCTGCCTACATTTCCTGCATTTCTTTCCATCTGTTTTTCAATTCTAGGGACATCTGCATGAAAATAAAATCTTTGGTGATTGGGATTTCAGCTGCTCCTGGTACTTAATGCTCACTTGAAGTCATTATCTTCAGTCATAATCCAACATGATTAAATGACTTGGCCATGACTGTGATGTCGTCCATCAAGGATTATGAAACAAGTCAGCCTTTTCCTGCATTTCTTTCCATCTGTTTTTCAATTCTAGGGACATCTGCATGAAAATAAAATCTTTGGTGATTGGGATTTCAGCTGCTCCTGGTACTTAATGCTCACTTGAAGTCATTATCTTCAGTCATAATCCAACATGATTAAATGACTTGGCCATGACTGTGATGTCGTCCATCAAGGATTATGAAACAAGTCAGCCTTGA